TTAATATGTACGGTTCTTAAGGGCAATTCATTATCAATTTGAAAAGCTGGCAAACAGCGGTTTCTTAGCTATAAACTTACAATAAGTCGATCATCTCGATTAGAAGTTCCCATACGAAGGTTCCTGGACGTCTATATTGACGTCCTCATGGACATGGTCATAATTCAAAGACCATACTCTATGGTATTAAGGTATTTTTGGAACCAGAATTTTATAGCAAATTCACTAAACTCGAATAAATAAATAATATATATTTGACTCACCCTGTATATCTATAAAAATATTTTTGAAATGTGAACTACCATTAAACATATATTTTGTAAAAGGTTTGGAGTGAAAATCTCAAATAGGAATCCTGATACAGAGCTTTTCCGGAAAACGGAGCCTTCTTGTATGTATGCATTTGTATATTATGTGTGTGTTTATTTAAATACTAAATTGAAAGCAACGAATTTAAATAGATAAACTTTGTAATAATTAACAATACAATGCAAAAAGTTTTATAAAAATTCGTTCACGGTAAATGAATTCCGAGGTTTGTATCTCATAAGGGCTTAAAGCACTCCACTAATGAATGAAAAATGAAATATTGCTGAAGTCGTAAAAACCAAAACGCGTTTCTATGGTAATATAAATCCGTTTTCCTTCTTTGATAGATTGTTATTGCTAGAATTTTATTTCTTCCTGCTATTTTAAATTGTTAAAGAACCACAAAATTTATTAAGGTCAATGCTATGGAAAGGGTGATAAAGTTATCAAAAAACGCGATACTTTAATAACAGAAAAAATATGACGTTAATCAAAATTAATAATAACAATCTATCAAAGAATGAAATCGAAATTATATTACCATAGCTTTCTACTTTTTAGGACTTTGTTTTTTGAATGTTTTTTTTTTCTAATTTTCTCTCAAACGGTATGGAAATTTTTGGAAATAAGCGGGATTAACCGTTTTAGAACAACCAAAAATAATGGAAAATGCAATTTTCCCTAAATATCAATAATAAAAAAGTTTTTCCTCTTGTAAAGACAATCCGGGAATATACTGTAGAATCGTCTTTCCAAATTTGAATATTTCGTTCCATTTATGGCTTTTTAGGACCATGAGCTGCAAATAAAGCTTAGACGCGTAATACTTACAAAATTAAAAAAGTAATTTTACTCATAAGAAAAATTCCATAAAACGTTTGTAATTGGAATGTATTTAAAATTGAATATCAATAACATAAATAAATAGCTGATCTAAACAATAATAATAGATATTAAAAATAAATGCAAATTAATTAATGTAAACCTCTTTATTTCAATTTTACATCACTATAACAGGGTGCTACAAATTCGAGGTACGAGCATTCGTATCTCGGTAACCGTAATAGGTACGAAGATAGTGGCAAAGTTGCGTATTGGGATGTTCACCAAGATGCCATCAAAAAAGTTTTAAAAATTTCAAGGATTGCTGAGATTTTTGGAAAAAACTGATTTTTTTGAAAAACGATTTTATTTTTTCCTGTCGTTACTTTTCAGAAAATCATAAAACTAATTGCACATTCTCATAGTCACTTTATTAGGACTATCTGACAGTATTTTTAGATTTTCAAATTAGTATACGGACCGTATAGTATACGCATTTTTTATTCCAGGTTTTGAAAGAACTTTTTTTTTGCTTTGGATACCTTAACAGCAACAAGAAAGAAAGTTTTCTTATGCATCCGAATGCATTTTGTACTCTGTGGTACTCTTTATTGTAAATGTTGAGATGAATTGATTTCACTTTTACAAACGACGTCAAGTAATGTAGCCCTTTGGCGATAGGTCCAGGAACCTCGCTGGACATTATACTGCTATACCAATCCAATATACCTGCTTTCCAATCCATCTTCCCGGGAAATTATTTGATTGTTTATATTATATTATATTTATATTAACTATTTAATATTATTTTATTGCATTTGATTTTCCGTATTCAATGTTTTACACCACGTCATTGATAAGTTTGAAAGCTTATCAATATTGTTACGATGAATAGATTAAATATTTAAAAAAATCAGAGCCGGACTTGAAATTAGCTTAAATAAATTGTGTTTAAAACAAAAAAAATATATTAAGTGTGGCATATGGTTGTACTCAGGAGACCGAGTTCTTTCAAAATCTGATATAAAAAATGCAGGTCCGTATTTAAAAAAATTAAGTTGGCCTCTGTATCTCACAAATTATCAGCTAATTTGAAAATCTAAAAATTCTATAAGATAGCCCTAATACTATGAGAATCTGCAATTTGTTTTTTGATTTTCTAAAAAGTAACGACAGGAAAAACAGGAAAAAATAAAATTGATTTTCAAAAAAAAAAGTTTTTTCCAAAAAACTCAGCAATCCTTAAAATTTTGAAAACTTTTTTGATGGCATCTTGGTGAACATCCCAAAGCGCAACTTTACCCCAATTTAACCATGTTCGTATCTATTACGGTTACCGAGATACCAAAGCTCGTACCTCGAATTTGTAGTATCCTGTATACATACATTTAAAAATCTAATATTCACCAGTAGTAGATAATACACAAGTTAAGGTCTCTGTGATTTCCCATATAATTTAAATTGAACTTTATGCTATCTTATTACTCCTGAGTATATCTACTTCATAAAAATTAGCGAACATCAATTTTAGAACATCTACATAATATTTCTTTTACACATGCATAGTTAACAAAATATTATTTTTTAAAGTATTTTAAGTAACGTTAAATTTCAAATGTTTCTAAATCAATTACATCACAGTAATCATTATAACGCAGACCTAATTTCCTGTCAAAAACAAAAATATTTAATGTAATATAGCCAATAAATTTTATGAGGTAGGTATTTAAATTGTTGACCCAAAACCAAGCAAAATATGCAAAGTTAATATTTAATTATCATTTTAACAGTAGCCTCTGGTAGCCAACTTAGTAGGTATCCTTAATAATACTAAAATTGCAACCGTGGTCATATCACAGCTTTTTTCAAATAAAAGACACTTTTCCAGAAAAAAATCACTCGGCCTTGTAACGTTCATCATCCGCAAACCAGTCTTTGTACTCAACCAGTTTATCTAACCAGAACTCCCCTAACTTGGCCATACTTTCACCCTCTCCGCCATATTCCGGAGGCAAAATATCCCTGTTCACCACTTCTTGCGCTTTGCACACACCACCAAAATGCACTTTCACTCTTCCTTTCATTTTCTCAATCATAAAGCTTTGATTATGTTCAACGCCACATTGATGTAGGTCGGTGAATTAACAAACTCCACTTTCTTCGGCCTGACGTGGTAGTTCTGCCAAGAGAATACAGCATTCTTCATCAGGGAAGGAGTCATGGTACGGTAGTGAGCGAAGCCGATGCCGGTCATGTCAAAAATGGCAGTCACACCATAGATTTGCGCTTTCTCGTTCTCCATACACATGACATCTAGAATCATCATTCCCGCTTTGAAAATGTCGTTCAATTGGTGCTTTTTTGGATCGTGAGCTGCCGTTCGTACCAGGACCACCAATTGGTTCTCGTGGTGATGTTACAATGGAACAAAAATCTCCAATTTTATCAGTTCTTGTAGTACGGGAAGCAAGGGGTTTCTGTTCGTAAACCATTCAGGTATATCTCAACGCATCGTGTATTAATTTGTCATTTTCGTCTTGGTTTTTTCAATGTTAAACTTACATCCTCGCAAAAATGGGAGGATGTGTTTGGTTTCCGTGCGGGCGTTCAACCAGGCCGCGTCTTCATGAAGCCACTCGCTGATTTCTTCCAAGCATTTGTCGCGATTTTATCGCCAAGCAAAAACAGCATTCTTCATCAGGGAAGGAGTTATGGTGCGATGGTGAGTGAATCCGATGCCGGTCATATTAAAAATGGCAATAACCCCGTAGATTTGCGCTTTCTCGTTCTCCATATTTCCAGATTTGTACATTTGGTTCCATTTATGCTATTTCGGGCCATGAGATGAAATTTAGCTTAGACGCATGAATATTTAAAAAACTTCTTGACTATGTTTTTAAATTAATAAGCTCAAAGATAACCATTTTATTTGAGAAAACTTATTTTTCGTTTTATGCCCTCCAAAAAATAGTCAAATTTATATATTTAATATATTAGGCAATTTAAACATAAATATATTAATAAAATAAAATTAATTATTAATTTAGCAATTACTTTAATTACCAGTTAAGTTATTATATTTATGTCCTTCATTAATTACAAAATTAAAAAATAATTTTACTCGTAAGAAAAACTAGATAACGCATCGTGTATTAATTTGTCATTTTCGTCTTGGTTTTTTCAATGTTTAACTTACATCCTCGCAAAAATGGGAGGATGTGTTTGGTTTCCGTGCGGGCGTTCAACCAGGCCGCGTCTTCATGAAGCCACTCGCTGATTTCTTCCAAGCATTTGTCGCGATTTTATCGCCAAGCAAAAACAGCATTCTTCATCAGGGAAGGAGTTATGGTGCGATGGTGAGCGAATCCGATGCCGGTCATGTTAAAAATGGCAATAACCCCGTAGATTTGCGCTTTCTCGTTCTCCATATTTCCAGATTTGTACATTTCGTTCCATTTATGCTATTTCGGGTCATGAGATGAAATTTAGCTTAGACGCATGAATATTTAAAAAACTTCTTGACTATGTTTTTAAATTAATAAGCTCAAAGATAACCATTTTATTTGAGAAAACTTATTTTTCGTTTTAAGCCCTCCAAAAAATAGTCAAATTTATATATTTAATATATTAGGCAATTTAAACATAAATATATTAATAAAATAAAATTATTTATTAACTTAGCAATTACTTTCATTACCAGTTAAGTTATTATATTTATGTCCTTCATTAATTACAAAATTAATAAATAATTTTACTCATAAGAAAAACTAGATAAAACGTTTGTAATTGGAACGTATTTAAAATTTAATATCAATAACATAAAAAATCTGGTCTAAAAAATTATAATATAGAAAATAAATAAAAATTAATCAATTTAAACCTCTTTATTTATTTTACGTCAGTATATACATTTAAAAATCTAATATTTACCAGCAGTACATAATACATTGCATCACAAGTTAAGGTCTCTTTGATTTTTCATACAATTTTTAATTTGAACTTTATGCTATCTTCTTACTCCTGACTAAACCTACTTCATAAAAATTAGTGGTTGAATTTTAGAACATCCACATATTATTTCTTTTACTGATGCATAGTTAAGAAAAAATAGTTATTTCTAAAGTATTTTTAGTATTATTAAATTTAAAATGTTTTTAAATCAATTGCATCACAGTAATCATTATAACGCAGACCTAATTTCCTGTCAAAAACAAAAATATTTAATGTAATATAGCCAATAAATTTTATGAGGTAGGTATTTAAATTGTTGACCCAAAACCAAGCAAAATATGCAAAGTTAATATTTAATTATCATTTTAACAGTAGCCTCTGGTAGCCGACTTAGTGTCCTTAAAGCTTCATTCAAACGTCAAAATTAGTAGTAAACATTTTCAAGTAGTAGAAAAAGTTAACAAACTTTTAACTTTTCCACTAATAATTACACTTGAAAATGGGAGAAATGTAATTTTTGCCTTAGATTTATTATTCGTCAAGAAAAATTGTGGTTAGAAACCAAAAGTTGATTGTTTTATAAGCTAAATATTAACCTTTCTCTATGGATACAACTGACTACCGCAAGCTGTTACTAGGATATTCTATTAACCTTAATTGTTTTTTTTTGATTTTGTAAATGATCGTAAACTAAAATGTATAAAGTGTAATTGAAACCACTAATTTATTCCACTAATTGCGAAGTTCTGAATTAAGATTTATAATACTAAAATTGCCAATAGTGGTCATATCACAGCTTTTTTTCAAATAAAATACACATTTCCAGAAAAAAAAATCACTCGGCCTTGTAACGTTCATCATCCGCAAACCAGGCTTTGTACTGAACCAGTTTATCCAACCAGAACTCCCCTAACTTGGCCATACTTTCACCCTCTCCGCCATATTCCGGAGGCAAAATATCTCTGTTCACCACTTCTTGCGCTTTGCACACTCCACCAAAATGCACTTTCACTCTTCCTCTCATTTTCTCAGTCATAAAGCTTTTGATTATGTTCAACGCTACATTGATGTAGGTCGGTGAATTAACAAACTCCAGTTTCTTCGGCCTGACGTGGTAGTTCTGCCAAGAGAAAACAGCATTCTTCATCAGGGAAGGAGTCATGGTACGGTAGTGAGCGAAGCCGATACCGGTCATGTCAAAAATGGCAATCACACCGTAGATTTGTGCTTTCTCGTTCTCCATACACATGACATCTAAAATCATCATTCCCGCTTTGAAAATGTCGTTCCATTGGTGCTTTTTTGGATCGTGAGCTGCCGTTCGTACCAGAACCACCGATTGGTTCTCGTGATGATGTTTTAGAGGAACAAAAATCCCCAATCTTATCAGTTCTTGTAGTACGGGAAGCAAGGGGTTTCTGTTCGTAAACCATTCAGGTCTATCTCGACGCATCGTGTAGTAATTTGTCATTTTCGTCTTGGTTTTTTCAATGTTAAACTTGCATCCTCGCAAAAATGGGAGGATGTGTTTTGTCTCCGTGCGAGCATTCAACCAGGCCGCGTCTCCCCGAAGCCACGCTCTGATTTCTTCCAAGCATTTTTCGCGATTTTCGTCGCTTTCGTTCAAGGTGTCGATTACGTAGCGTAATGTTTGGTCGTCGAGCGTGGACAAGTATACCTCCGCTGCGTTCGACATAGTTTCTCGGCGCAAGTAACGCGAGAACTGAATTATCCATAGACGAGTCTATACGTAAAAATTAACAGATACATAGCGAGAGGCTCGTTATAGACGTAGGTTATAGATTAAAATGACTGAAAGTACTGCAGCGGCGTGCTGTATTTTTTTAGTACCAAACCGGTATAGTCGGTAAAGCCGCTTTATTTATATGAAAATAAAAATATTTATTTACTTAAATATAAATATTTCTTTCTATAAAAAATTGTGTGTGCGCTAGGAAAATCAGGTCCAATATATTTATAGAGTTTACCAGACTCTACACGCCATTTAGAAAAATGAAGTGGATCTTTAAGGATACGTTCACGCATTTTCAAATACCAACGATCACTAACATCGGAAACCTCTAGAAAATTAAGTTCAATATATCAACAACAGGTAACGCTCTCGAAAGAGTGTCCGGAACCACATGTTCCTTACCTTTTCTATGAATTACTTCATAGTCGAATTATTGAAGTTTCAAAGCCCAGCGACCAAGTCTACCCTGCGCATCCTTCAAGTTCTCCAACCACAACAAAGAGTGACGATCAGTTATGACAGAGAACTTAGAGAGTTCCAAGTAACAACGAAGTTTTTCAACTGCCCAAAGAACAGCGAGGCATTCATGCTCTGTACTGGAATAATTCCGTTCAGGACGTGAAAGTGTTCTGGATAGATAACATATCACAAATTCCTGCTCATCATACTTCTGCGTCAGAACTGCTCCTAATCCATAAGCTGAAGAATCAGTTTGGACATAAAATGGATACTTGAAGTTTGGACAAGCAAGAACCGGAGCGGAAATCAATGCATCCTTAATTTTAAGAAAAGAAATCGTGCAAGACTCATCCCAAACAAACTTTTTCCCTTTCCTAAGATGTCCCGTGAGTGGCGCAAGAATATCTGAAAATCCGTCAACAAAACGTCTATACCAAGTAATCATACCAATTACCCGTCTGACTTCTTTAACTGTTCGTGGTTCTGGCATATTTACAATAGCCTCCACTTTATCTGGATCTACAGCTATCCCAGATCTGTTTATTACAAAACCCAAAAATTTCAACTCTGGTCTACAGAAATAACATTTCTCTTTGTTCAAGGTTAGGTTAGCGGTTTTTAAACGTTCAAATACTAATTCTAAAACCTCAAAGTGTTTCTCTAAGGTAGGCGTTGCAATGATAATGTCATCAAGGTATTTCAAAATAAACGGTTCCAACTCAGGACCAAATAAATTATCAACTAACCGTTGAAACGTTGCGGGCGCATTATGTAACCCAAATAGCATTCTTGTAAACTGAAATAAACCCCTTGATGGTACAGTAAATGCAGTATATTTACGCGAATCTGGCTCAACTTCTACCTGCCAGTAAGCACTTTGGATGTCTAAAGAACTTAAATATTTAGCACCACCTAACTTCCTCAAAATATCCGAAATGTATGGTAAAGGATAAGCATCGCGTTCCGTAACTCTATTTAATTTACGATAATCTACACAAAATCTCCAAGTTTTATCTGGTTTAGGGACCAATAACACGGGTGAAGACCAACCACTAGAAGATTTTTCAATAACCCCTAACTTTAACATTTTATCTAATTCGGTATATTAATAATATCTTGTTTAAAAGGTGATACTGGATAATAACGTTGTGTAATAGGATCTTCCTGTGTAACACGAATCTTATGTTGAACTGCTGTGGTACAACCCAAAGCATTGCTATCAAAACTTGAAAAATAAGAATTAACAATTTGGTTAAGGTGTTCTAAGTCATTTGTCCCTAAGTCAGTTTGTGACTCGATAGAATTTAAAACTGGTGTATTTAGATCTACATCAGAGAAATACCATTCTCCTTTCCTAACATCTGGAACTATTCCCATTCTAATCCAAAAATCTATTCCTAAAACTAACTTATGTCTTAATCCCGGAAATATATACACGTCCATAATTTTAACTACATTACGTAACCTAATTGGAATTGTAACTACCCCTAAACATTGACATTGACTATTATCAGCGACACGACAAAGTAAATTTGCAGATTGATTTAATTTAATGCCTAAATTCTTAATCATTTCGTATCCCTCTAAATTCATAAATACTTTATTAGCACCACTGTCTAATAAACCGTAAAAAGATAAACCTAAAATTTCATACGGACATTCACCTTCGCCGACTTGAGCTAAAATGTAATCAAGAACAACTTTACCTCTAAAATCTCTGACCGGACTGTCAACAAAAGAGGCGGTGGGCCGATCAACTACCGTCTCTGCGTAGCGTTTCCCGAACCAGAAGTTCGTGTGTTTTGGTTGTTTCGAGATGATTCAGATGTACTAGGCTCATTACAACTTCGAGAGAATTCCTATTTGGATTGCAATTAGGACACGAATTCTTTGTGAAACCCTCTCTACCACATCCAAAACAACGAAAATCGTGTTTCCTTTTCGGACAATCTTTCGCAAAAGGCCCCGGAGTTTTACATCTCCAACAAGTTTGTTCTCTAATTTGAATTTCATTGACAGTTGGACGGCTTTGTCTTGGACTACCCTTGTGAGCTAAATCAGGTTCTAAAGAAAGTGACGACAAATTAGGCGGCTTAAAATTATCTACAGATTCACGAATTTCCTCGATTTTCAATTGAAATTCAAATTCAATTCACTTCTTCCTATTTCCGTCTATCAGTCTGTCCGTCTGAGTTTGGTTCCAATCGACCCATAATTAAGAGAAAAATCCTGATGATTTCGTCCATTTAGAAACATCGGTTCGAAACGTCGAGGGCGTCATCCTGTAGCCGGGCCCCAATTATGCCGAAATCGATCCACATTTTTCTTCAATATCAAATCCTTAGTCCCACCCTGATGAAGATGTAAACGAAACATCGTATCCAACTTTGCAGGGTGGGATCCCGTGCACCGTCGCATCGCTCACATAGCCTACCCACCAAATTTAGTCGCGATCGTACAACATCAACTTTTGACTTTTTTACGTCAAATTGTTTTGAGAAAAAGTTAATTGTTGTTTCACCTCTACCTATTGATGGCGAGTCGTTTGCAAAATCAATGAACCAGGTTCTTGTTCTTGGTGATGTTTATGTACTGTTTGTAAACAGATTTTACCATTTGTCTCACACTAGGTAGTGCGTGTGATGAGACAATGACATGTGATGATAATTAGACAAATAATGTACAGGGTTTTTCCCAGATTAGTTGAAATCATACGGTTGTAAGTAAAGATATGTGGATGCCGTTTGCACATACCTGTTCCACTTTTTTGTTAAACGGAAGATGCTGCAAACAAAATTTGCATAGCTCTCTTCGTTTCTGAGCTACAGGGTCTTTTTGAAAATTGACTCAAAGTTGGCCTTGGTCCAATCTATCGCCACCATACCAAATTTTATTAAAATCGGATGATTTTTTTATTTCATTCATTGATGATGGGGTTTCGTAGTGCACAAAACGTCGTCAAAATATCATGAAAAGTTTTCATGACGTTTCACAAAAACGATGTCAAACCACCTTGAGTATAAACTGTAGTCCGTACTTAGGATAAACATACATCACGCAAGCACATACAAAATATCGCCTACAGTCTCTACACTGATTTACTCAGTGTCAATTACTCAAAATTCTGTACACTCTAAGAAGATATTTAGTGCAGATATTCATTGGACGACAAAAAACTATAAACGAAACCACTTAGAAGATTCAGATATTGGAAGAATATAATGGCTTAAGGAAAATAATGGAAAGTAATGTAAAAATAAAAAAGAACTGTAGATAGAAGGAATGTAAAGGATACACCTGACTAAAAGTTCACACCAAATAAACTTTTAATCACGTGATTAAGCTTTACCGGCACAGCGTTGCCCACTTTTATATATTTTCTTTTAATCAAAATATTTTAGAAAACAAAAATAAATTAATTATAAATATGTAAACAATTATTATTTACATCAACAAAACTCACCTTCTTAACTGCACTTAATAAAGAGCCAATACTACCGCTTTCCCGTTCAAAATATTCTAATAAAGTTGCGATGAGTTTTTTACGGTTATATTAAGCTATCTTGTACACTTTGCACTAAAAGAGGTTCTAAAAAGAACAATGTTCGACTGCAAGGTCTGCTAGTAAACATTTTTAAGCTTAAAGTATCATGACACTACTTATATAAATCAAAAACTCGTAATATGCAAAACTAAAGTGTCAAAATGAATGACAATATCAGGAAATAAATGAATAAATGCGACAACTTGACATTTTTTACAGCAGAGCTACCACCTGAATCCCTAGCGGGAAATTTAAATTCCAGTTAGTCAGCTCGGCCAAAGAGTAGATAAGACAAGAGACGACAGTTCGTGCGGTACCTTTCATGTTTGAGTGGTGGGGAGAGTGACCTCGTCTCGCTTGTCCCTTTAAATTTTCGTAACTTTTTCGCGGGAAATTTGAAATAGACTATTATTAAAATTTGCCTGTATAGCTTATAAATAGTTACTGTGTGGGTAAAGAAATAAAGAGAAACGAAAAAAAAAATGAGTTTTCTAAGTATTATATAAAATAAATTATAATTAGAAACATATTTGTCGGGGAATAAAGATAATAAAAGCAATATTTTGTATATCGTTGGTAAACAAGATAAAGTGACCAAGTCGATTTGTAAGAAATGTTTTATTTACGTGTGTATTTTTTTTACATATGGACTTGAACAAGTGTAACTCACAATGTGGAGTTTATGTACAAAAAATAGGTTGCTCAATTTTATTTAACTAAATCCTCGCAATTACAAGCTTCTAACCATGTCTTCGATCTATGGATTACATTTAGTTTAATAACATAATTATATAGTATATTTCTATAAAAATACTTTTCAGGATCCTTTGGAAAAGAGTGAAATATTATGTTTGTCGAAGAACAAGACCTATTTTTGCAGAGAAGTGTCTAGTCCTAGCCGTCAACTATTAAGCTTGACCAATCAGGTTGGTTAGCGTGGTTATTTGGAGTGTGTTAATTCATTTGTGTTTGTCAAAAACTCTAACGTGATTGGTCGGGCT